GACCGGCTTTCCCAAAGTCAACATCCTGCTCCGGTGAGAGACGAGCGAGTCGTGATCCGGTTCTGTTCACACACGCTTCAGTCAGTGACAGGAGTCAAACCAGATTACACACAGTGACTCAGTTAGTTAATAGTTGTTGTCATAGTTACTATTATTATTATAGTTATGATTAATATATAAAGTTACCATTAGGGCTGTCCTCGACTAAAGATTTTTCTGGTCGCCTATAGTCGACTAATCACACGTAAATAAACCATTTAAATCTTTATAATGAGCCTTTAATTGCCTACAAATTGAGTGCACACAAATAAACTTAGAGTCTTTACAGATTTGAAAGATGTATTACTCTTATCTGTATGACCAAACATGAGGGAGTATTTTAAGAGCAAGCTTCATACTCCACACAAACACTATAGTGCACATTTCTCTAGGTTAACATTAGATTGAGCGGCCATGCAAAGTTGCTAATACTTACATATTTCAGATGATAAGTCATATTTGATGTTGATGAATGACTGGCGAGCGTTTGGATGTCCTGCCTGATGTACTGTATTACCACATAGACCAGCCGCTAACGATCTGTTATTAGTCACGATCTGCGTGACTTCGCCTGTGGAGTTTTTTTTTTTTCTGCGACTAATACAATTTTATTCGACCAAGCCTCTTCTGGTCAACTAACGGTTAGTCGACTATTAGGGGGCAGCCCTAGTTACCATTTAGATATCATTATCATTGTAGTTTTCATTATAGTTATCATCTTTACAGTTCTAGTGTGGTGTGAACAGGCCTTAATTCAGATCGTGACACCCGTCCAAATAGTTAATGATGTAGTTTATTGATAAGTTTGGTCCTGGTCACTGTAAGATGTTCATGTTCTCAGTCAGACGCACAATGAAGCAGCCTCTCTGTGTGTGTGTGTGTGTCAGGGATGCGGTGGAGAAGCTGTTTCCCGCAGTCGTGAGCCGACGGAAGCAGGCCATCCTGAGTGATCCGCAGTTCTGTCGTGTTCTCCAGGCCTTCCAGCAGCAGTGGAACAGACAGCCCCCTCGTGCAGCTCCGCCACAGAACCCACCGCAGTTTAATATACTGAACCAACCACCGTTTAATATGTTGAATCAACCACAGTTTGATATGTTGAATCCTCCGGAGTTCAACATCAGAGAGTTTTGCTCTGGAATCAGTGTAGTGCTGTGCTGCATGGCTGTGAGTGACACACACACACACTCTTATACACACACTGAGGATGAGTTGTCGCACTGCATCATCACTGTGTGTGTGTGTGTGTGTGTGTGTAGATGGTGGTGTTAATGTGGCGTGTGTACAGTACCGACTCCAGTCATGAGGTGCTGCTCAGTAAACCGCTCAGCAGGTGGAGCGCTGATGATGTCACTCTGTGGGTGGAGCATCTGAGCGTCTGGACCAATCCGTATAAAGAAACCTTCCGCAGGGAACAGATCAACGGCAGGTAACACTCACACTACAGTCATTTACATCTGGAATTAGAGGCCGTCAGTCCTGGTCCTGGAGACCCACAGCTCTCATCATCTCATCAGATCACCGTGAGCCTCCAGAACCAGGACTGAGAGCCAGGAGGGTCTGAAAAAGGGTGAACGTTTGTATCACTCCGCTTGCAGTATTTCTCACAGCGAGTGTCATCCACTATAATAAATAATACTGTTTCTGTGTCACAGAGTTTTTTAGGTGAGAATGTACTTGTTTAGACTTCAAATATGCAGTTTGTTAATAAAGATAACGTCTATTTGAAAATTTGATTCGATGTTTTCTGAGACGTGAGCTCCAGAGCGTCAGCAGCCGTTCTGCGCTCATGAACCTGCGGAGAGAGCGCCTCACCTCGGCCAGATCTTCTGAAGTTTACCGCTGGCTCTAATGTCTCTATAGAGGTTAAACATGAGATATAATTCATTTCGAGTAAATCTCACGGGCAGTCTTTGGTCTCTTTAATCTATTATTTGTTCCAGAGCAAATAGTTTTGGCTGAAAATCTCACCATGTTATAATTTATCTAACTTCAATGCTGTAAATCAGAGTGCTGCCTTTGTACTTTTGACTGAGTTGCTTAGCAACTTTTTTAGATGGCGACGAGACCATGTCGTTCCAAATCTTTGGAACACAAATTAAGATATTTCTGATGAAATCTGAGAGCTTTCTGACCCTCCATAGACAGCAATACAACTGAAATGTTCCCAGGTCCAGAAACGTAGTAAGGACAACGGTAAAACAGTCCATGTGACCTCAGTGGTTCAATCGTAATTTTACGAAGCTTTTTGTGCACAAAGAAAACAAAAATAACAACTTTTTTCAACAATTCTTCTCCTCCAAGTAACTGTCCTCTACCATTATCTAGAGTACCACGAAGCAAGCGTGTGCACTCCTGTGCTCGTAAACAAGCCGCAGCGCATGCGTGTTCTGCTGCTACTCCTGTGATATTGCTCATATACTGTATATATATATATATATATGTATATATATATATATATAACCTTCCGCAGGGAACAGATCAATGGCAGGTAACACTCACACACTCACACACAGAGCATTTCTCAGTCCTGGAGACCCACAGCACTGCACATTCCTCAGTGATCATCAGTGACCTGAGATGTATGTGTGTGTGTGTGTGTGTGTGTGTGTGTGTCAGGTTACTGTCTGCTCTCAGCGATGACGATCTGTCCGTGGCTCCGTTCAGCATCGAGAATCAGTCTCACAGACAGATCATCCTGGAGGAGCGGCACAGACTCAGACAGCGCCGGGTCTCACTGAACCTCTGGCAGTACAAGGTGAGTGTGTGTGTGTGTGTGTGTGTGTGCTTTTAAAAGTTCACTCAAGTATACTCATCAGGGATGGTCAGATTGTTGAGCATCATCTCTCTCTCTCTCTGTGTGTGTGTGTGTTCAGGATCTGAATTTAGGGAAGACTCTGTTTCTGCTGTTGAGTTTGCGCAGATTTCCCCGGCTGACGCTGCTCTGTCTGTTCCTCTTCGATTATGACGACACGTTTCTTCCCTTCATCCACACCAGCTGCCCGGCACAAACCACACAGGACAGCCTGATCGACACGCCGCTGGTGCGTCACTGCCTTTCACTCTCCACCACTTCTGCAGACGCCCGACGCATGCCGCACAGACCTTTCAGATTGCTCGTAAAGCAGCTCCTATCACTATCAATGTGTGGAGGAAGAACATTAGCAATTCTCACCTCGCTCTCACAGTTTTGATTAGAACTCTTAACAAGAAATATTTCACCCAAAGCTGAAACTGGATCTGAAAATTTGCCGTATGCATACAGCCTCCATATTGTACATGAATGACTGCAGGTCTGTCGTCTGTCAGTTGTTGGAGATAACAAAAAGACGGCTTTTATGTAACTCTCTCTCGTTTTCTGCGTGTGCCGCATCAGGATTGGCCGGGCTGGAGTCAGTGGGCGGAGTTTCTGCTGATGTACTTCCTGCTGCCCTATCAGCTGCTGTCTGCGTTCGCCTGGCACTGGATGAGCGTTCATTACTGGACGGCACGCCTCGTCATGTTACACGCTGTGCTACTGTCCACGCTGGATGTGCATTTCTTCTGGACGCTGTTGAAGAGAGGACAGATGAGGTACACACACAAGACAGATGTCTGTTTTAATGAAACACTTCTCCATGTTTGTGTGTGATTTCTGAGACTGATGGGATGATTGCTGTGTGTTGTGATTGCAGGACGCTCCCGAAGCGTGTCTGGCAGGAGGTGTTAGCCGTGATAACAGACGCCTCTGTGTTTGTGCTGCTGTGGAGGCTGATTCCTCTGTTCTTCTGTAACTTTATATTCTACTACAATCTGTACATCTGCCCCTTCAACACTGCAGCGCTGGTGAAACGAGCACTGCTGCAGACAGACACACAGCAGCAGAGGATCTGACACAGTCTTTCACATTCACCCTGCTGCTGTTCAATGATACTCAGGTTCATAGTATACAGCTATCATTATTACAGAATCAAACCGCTCTTCTTCATTCATCTCTTCAGTCACCTGTTTGGGTGTTTGTTTCATGCTGTTTAAGAGAAATTCAGACAATTCTGTGCAAATAAAATCAATAATACAGTATTTATTTTTATATTATGATTTAAATGGATATTATAATCTGGGGCAAAATGGACAAACATTTTTTGAATAAAAAGAGAAAGTGCTGGTGGTGTTGAGTGCTGTTAATATTAGATAAGAAGTTGGTTTGTTGCTTACATGTTATTACAGTGATCACTTGACAAGTTATTTATTCGGTATAAAAGGCACATTTATAAAACCTTACAAGAAAACAAAAACATAGATTTACACAGAGCTTTACATATTCATTTAAAGCTTATTTTATTTTCTTGCATTAAAACATTAATAGAAATTGTCAAATGTTCCAGCGTAATCTTCATTAATATCAGATTTAATTAACCAAAACGCCAAGAAATGGCAGCAGATAAACGTTAATCGTTAAGGGTCACGTGATGTTGTCCATGTCTAACATTGCTGTGAAGGATTATTACTGTCGTTTGGGGGCGTGGCTTCAATGCGCTGTGCTCACCGCTGATTGGTCCGATGTTTGTTTGCGCTCTGTTGTTAACCAGAACAAACCAGTCCAGCACAGAACACCAGCTAAAGTTAGCAGGTTAATTCAGCTCACAAAGCGCCTCAGAGCCGCTTCACGCACGCATTCGACCCCAAAACACCGAAGACTCGGAGCTGACTCGGTTTTTAAACTAGGACCTTGCACATTCTCGTTTATCTGTGCGTGCATTTAACGTAATTTTCGTAAGAATCCAGATTTAATGAAATGAAGCACCGCGCGTTTGTGCGTGTAGTTTAGAGACGCTCCCTCGCCTGGCCCCGCCCCTCCCGTGAGGCGGAAGTGTGACGTGTGTTTGAGCGGTTGGTGCGGCTCGGTTGTGCTCGGTTCTGCTCTCCCGGGATGCGCTGCTGGCTGTAGCGGGTCTGTGATGCTGCGGATCCGGGCGAAGCTCCGGCAGGCGGCGGATCAGATGAAGAGAAGACCCGAACTGTGCTGCGGCGCGATCCTGCTCACCTGCGCGCTAATACTGCCCTTAACCCTCACCTGCAGGTAAACACACCCTGAATATATCTATAATATCATATACTGCTGTGAATATTACTATAATATCATATCCTGCTGGGAATTATATCTATAATATCATATACTGCTGTGAAATATATCTATAATATCATACACTGCTGTGAATTATAACTATAATATCATACACTGCTGTGAAATATTACTATAATATCATATACTGCTGTGAATTATATCTATAATATCATATACTGCTGTGAATTATATCTATAATATCATATACTGCTGTGAATTATATCTATAATATCATATACTGCTGTGAATTATATCTATAATATCATATACTGCTGTGAATTATATCTATAATATCATATACTGCTGTGAATTATATCTATAATATCATATACTGCTGTGAATTATATCTATAATATCATATACTGCTGTGAATTATATCTATAATATCATATACTGCTGTGAATTATATCTATAATATCATATACTGCTGTGAATTATATCTATAATATCATATACTGCTGTGAATTATATCTATAATATCATATACTGCTGTGAA